AGTAAACATTAAAAAAAAATTATAATACCCATCTATAGAAGTGCCTATTTCACTACATATGCTAAGATTTCATTAGTTCTATGTACTGTTTCCTTAGCCGAACACCAAGGACAGTTTACGTATTTTTGTCTCAACTTATAAAAATAGAACATCAGTATAAATATCACTGTATAAATATCTGATAAGTGAATGGCAAAATCTGCCACAGGAATGATTAATCAACACAAAGTCTCTGACTGGATCCAGTATACCTATTTTGCTCTATTTCAAACTCTTTTTACTCAACATCATAATTCAATGCATTCATTTTGGTAGTGTCTTTTTAATGAAAGACTGTGTTAACACAATTTTCCACTTCCTTTGGACCCACTCTACAGGGAAGCATCCCACAGGTGAGGAAACCAGTTAGGCTTGTACCTGGTATAAAGACAAAATAAGACTGTGAAGCTTCCTGAGGCCTGGTAAAGGGATATGTTGGCCAACTTGGGACCCTCTTTTGTTTAACCCTAGCAGTCCTTCACATTTGTAATCCCACTCTTCTCACCTATGACATTCCCTGGTCCATTACAAATCATAGCGGTATTTTTTATTTACCCTTTCCTCACTGCTGTTGTTACCTTTTCCTTTATAGGATGACATCAGGAGTGACCAGTCCCTCTTTGAAATGCTGTCTAGAGTTATTGCTGATGACCCAACAACAAGCACATAATGACAATGACCCAGAAGTTGTCCATATCATCCAATAAGGGGAGAGAAGCCATCTTTGTGAACAACAATAAGGGGTTTATGTAAAGCATGTATAAAATCAGTTTTCAATGTCAACAGCTGCTCAGAACCAACAGTCCTATTGCTGTGGGGTCACCAGGGATGCTGGAATATTTCTAGGTATCGAGAATCTAGAGTAGCTAGAGATACGATTTTTATCCTTCCTGGAGAAGAATATCATAGCCAAGCCCAAACAGCACATCATTGAGTTGGAATAGCAAACTGGCCTTGGTCTTCCCTGCACATATATTTTTCTTTGATAATCTAATATTTCTGTATATTTTTCCTGGTTGAATAAAACAAATCCCTTGTCCATGGCAAAAGAAATTTGTGTTTTTCTATTTTCAGAAAATAAAGAAGGAGAAATAGATTTCTGGGTTCTAGAGGAGAGTCAGCAACACCAAGTCTTGGTTCCATTTCTTTGCATTCTTACATATGTTTGAGGAGTGATGTGCTTCTGACTAGCAGGGAGCCTTCTATAACTCAAGGTAAATATGTATTGAATATCTTTGCTCATAAGGTGACTACTTTATGATCAACAGGGACCCATAAGGTCCCCTGAATGTCTCTTGAACTATAATAGTAGCCCTTCCTAACCAGCCATGCTCCCCAAAGGGAGCACAAGGATAGATACATTTGCAAATGTAGTGCTTTTAGGTCTTACTGCTTCCATAAATCAATTCAATTTTACATTACTATGCCATGTTGCACTTCTTCCAGACTTTTGGACCTATTTCTGAACTACCTCATCTGAACAGAATAAGAAAGAAATCAGTCTTGAGTTCAGTGAGGCCTTGGGAAGCTGACAGTTAACCTCTTTGTGCCTCAAGTTACATCAGTCATTCATTTATTCAGTACACACTGAAGGAAAGGAAGCACCCTAGGTGCTGGGGGTGAACAAAACAGAGTTCCAGCTCTCTCAGAGAAGACAGACAAGAATTATAGCAATATATGTGTTGGGAAGCAAAAATAAAGCATACTAACAGGCAAGGGTGTCTACAGTGCTCTTAATATAGTGGCCAGACAAGGGCTCTTTGAGGAGTTAACATTTGAGCAGACAATCAAGGGGGCAAATTTTGTGGGACATCAGGAATTGAGATGGGAATGCAGTGGATATGTTTAAAGAAGAGCAGAAAGGCTAGGATATCAGGAGGAAGTAAGTGGGAAAGAGAATGGCTAGACCATCCAGGGACTTTCCTCATCTGGCAGAGGCAAAGAGTAATCATCATTTCCCAGAGACAAGGTAAAAACTAAGAAGAGAGCTACTCAATATGCAGTACCACTTGTTTTTGATGTTGGAGGAACTCCTTTGTACATTTTCTTGTCTCCTCTTGGCAGTGTCACTCTTCAGTGGCTGGTGTCTCATACATTCACATGGCCACACTCAAGTCTCCCTTAAACCATCGTTGCCATGTACATTAAACATTGCATATTACTTTCCTAGCACAGTTGTAAGAAAGTACAATGCTTTATGCTTTCACAGCTCTCAAGGCTAGAGGTCAGGAAGGAAGGTATCAGCAGGGCCGGCTCCTCCTGGGTACTCTAAGGGAGCATCTGCTCGAGGTCCTTCTCTGAACTTCTGGTGACAGAGGGCAATCCTTAGAGCTCCTTGGCATGGAGATAAAACACTGCCAACACTGCCTTCATCTTTACACGACATTCTCTCTCTGTGTCTGTGTACTTCCTCTCTTTTTATGACACAAATCATATTGGATTTAGGGGTCACCCTACTCCACTATGAACTTATTGTAATTCATTTCATCTACCAAGACTCTATTTCCAAATAAGTTTGCATTTTGAGACTCCAGGAAGAGCATGAATTTTAGGGGAACTCAGTACATATTTGAATTCAGGTTGATTACTGAATGAGCTTTCCTGGATAATCAAATTGGCTGGTAAAGAAAAGAGAGGCATATATATACTCCACATACAGATTTAAAACAAAACAATGCAATTCTTCTGAACATAATTTAACCAGAAAGGGCTCTGGGATCTGTATGTGACTCATTCACAATGAAAAAACATTAGGTGTCATTCTCTGAATGGGAATGCTTAAAATGAAGATAGAGTTGGGAAATGCATGCAATGTATGGTGGTATACAGTCTCTAGACAAACCAGACCCAAGTTCAAATCCCAGTCACATCAAAGTCAAGCAAGTCACTGAAGCTCTCAGGGCCTTCATTTCTGTACACTGAAAAAGTACCTTGGGGGATTGTTCTAGCGTTGATACAGGAAATCTCACTGCACCCTAGACTTGTGTTTGTGCCTGCCACACGTCATGGAGGGAGTGAAGGATGGCAGTCCCCAGAAAACAACCATTTCTCAGGTAAATGGCAACGAAAACAGCTAGATGGTGAACTTGGACGGTTTGCTTTGTGTGACTCAACTGTACTAGCTGGGTCAACAGGTGGACTAGGGGTTCTGCAATCATCCTAGGCCGGTATAATTTAGGTCAAATCTTGAACTGACCCTCTAGGCTTGTTCAAACTCACCAATCGGTTTTCCTTGTGAAATATTCTGGCTTCACCTTTTTTAAGGCCCACACTTGCCTTTGGCCTGGGAAATACTCTTCAAAGAGCTTGTTCTTCCTTGCATGCCGAAATGTGATCACATTCTCAATGTTTTAGGGTAATTTTCTACATGCCATTTTCTGACAGTGAATCCGAAAGCCCCATCTCTCTGTGTTGGATATTATTCCTGCCTCACATGGAAGTAACTTCTGCTTAAGATTCATGTTGTCTTTGAATCTTTATCTTTCTTTTCTTCATGTTTCAAAATGACACAAGAAAGTGCCTAACACAGTACCTGAAATATAGTGGATATTCTCTTTTCTGTTCTCACACAGGAGTAGAAAAAGCCCCACTGTTTGGGTGAACACAAGCTGACACACACTGTACTCAAGAAAATCTGGATTCTTTTTGTTGTTATTATTCTGAGCATAAGGAATTGATAGACATGTAATACCTTGATGCATATGGTTCATCTATTAAGGGTAGAGCACTCTCAAAGATTTTTTTAATTCTTTCAATTGTTTGTTTATTCTGGGTTCTCTATTTATTTTTTTAAAATTTTTTTTATTTATTTTTGACACAGAGAGAGACAGAGCATGAGCAGGGGAGGGGCAGAGAGAGAGGGAGACACAGAATCCGAAGCAGGCTCCAGGCTCTGAACTGTCAGCACAGAGAGTGATG